GAAAAGAAAAGAAAAAGAAAAGAAAAAGAAAAGAAGAGAAAAGAAAAGGAAAAGAAAAGAAAAGAAAAGAGAAAGAAAAGAAATGAAAAGAAAGAAAAGGAAAAGTGGAAGAAAGGAAAGATCGCAACAACGAAGTAGTTTTATGACCTGAACTACGTTTGACTTGATCCCGAAAGAGTACGTAGGCAGCCTCTCTCTGAGGTTCAGTCACACCGAAATAAAAGTCCAAAAGTCCCCAAGAAAGAAACTGGGGCAGAAGTTATGGTTGTTGTGAGAAATCTGATTCCGAAAGTTGTAATTTTGAACCCATGTTGAATTGTTTTGAGCCTTTCATACCCTTTCTTTCTCACCCTATCCCAAAGCCCACATTACGGTCCAAAGAAAGACCTTCCGTTCAGTGTTCAAGAAGTTCCAAGACGAGCAAGCAGAAGTGATTCATGTCAGGGGCAACACTCCGGTACAAGCAGAAAAATAAGGAAAATGAGAGAGTCTTATTGGTGAAAACCCTCACGGGCACCATAAGGCAAAGTGAGTTGAGAAAAATAATAAAAATGAGAGAGTCTTATTGGTGAAAACCCTCACGGGCACCATAAGGAAAAGTGAGTTGAGAAAAATAATAAAAATGAGAGAGTCTTATTGGTGAAAACCTTCACGGGCACCTTGAGGCGAATGTAAGTTGAGAGAAAGAACGAAATGAGAGAGGCTTGATGGTGAAAACCCTTCGGGCACTACAAGTCGAATAAGGATTGTGAATCAGATTGGATAAGCGGAGCATTGAAGGCCAGTTTCATGGTGAAAAGGTACAACAAGAGCTGAACATCAGATTTTGCTTGAAAAAATATCTACAGGTGCATGTCGTGGTCATTAGAGTTGCTATCCACACCTGATAGGTTTCTACCTCGTAGTTTTCTTGTTAGGAATCATCTCTTTCCTTTGTCCTTCACTCTATTCCTTTTGTTTCATTTACTTCCTCCTCTTGAGTCTGTGTGGTCAAACAAGTGAGAAATGACTTCAAAATCTGCCACCAAGCTTTCCAATTGAACAAAATGGGATCTGGTGAACACATCAAAGCGTTAAGTCAGGAATGAACAACAAACGCACTGAGCTGGTAACAGTCAACATGCTTTGGGATTCGTTTAAAATACGAAGGCTGGGTATGTATCAATTCATAGACGATACAACAGAATGAGGACTAAGGTGAACGGATCAAAGGTATTTTCTGTGAAAAGATTGACAAAGAGGGTGGTAAACCAGTGACGAGCGAGGTATTCCAAGCAGAAATCAAAGTTATTGTTGGAGTATGGCAAGTGAAGGAGCAATAGATCTCGAGGCCAAGGCCATTGCTTTAAATCAGGAAAGAACAACATGCGCGCTGAGTTGGTAACAATTAATATGCTTGGGAGTCCAGGTGAAACACAAAGGTTTGATAAATATCAGTACGAGCGGTGTAACAGATAAAGGGTATTGGGCCTGAACGAGAAGAGGTGTTTTCCTGGTCAAGGCTTACAAAGGAAGTGGTTAGTCAAGGAAGGAGCAAGGTCGTCGAATGGAAACCAAAATGAAGGAGCAACAGACCTCAAGGCCGAAGCCAGTGGTTAAGTCAAGAAAGAACAGCGTATACACAGAGTGGGGGTAATGGACGTGCTTTGGGATTCATGCGAGACACAAAGGTTGGGTAGATGCCAGTTCATGAGCAATGCAAC